CTGGGGGCGGGAGGGGGAGCCTCCCCACAGCCCCTCCTTAGTGTTAGCAGAGGGCACTTCGTGGGAGCCAAGCATTAGCTTTAGTAAGAGGCTGGCTGGGACGTGCTCCCTAGTTAAAACCCCGCAGAAAGATTATAGTGTTTCGCGTAAGCTGCAATGCGGGGAGAGCGCCGCTTCCCACCCCGAACCCCTCTTCTGCGCCAAGGCCAGCGCTAGAGGGCGCTGTTGTCGAGCCAGCCGTGTCTATGGCGGGCGGCCAACGTCGCGGACCTCGTCGCGGATCTCTGAATTGGAAAAGAAACCGTGAGCTTCCTCCTGCTGCAAAGGGAGAATAATATCATGGGAACCTTGCAAAGAGGGTAGGCGACGCTTTCAGAAAAGCAGCCGTCTGCCCCACACTCTGTGGCCAAAAGGGGCACGCTCTCCAACATTTCTCCAATGAAAATAGGGACGTCCCATTCCATAATGATGATTTTGCTTTATATATATATAGAGAGAGAGAGAGAGAGGAGAGAGTATGAGATTTCTTAATTTACAAAAATACATGCATTGTCTCTTTTTTCAAGTTGCGTTTTTTTACAGATCAGTTTTACTTGTTGTGAGATACAATGTTAGGTTAGGAAGAAGAAAGGGAGAGGGGGATAATTTTACTATTTATACCCCAAACATCTTACTGGATTGTGCCAGCCACTCTGAGTGGCTTCCAACATATATAAAAAAATAAGAAAGCATTAAACATTTTTTTAAAAAATCTTTCCCTATACAAGATTGCCTTCAGACGACTCCGGGGTTGGATAACTCCATACCCTCCAACATTTCTCCAATGAAAATAGAGACATCCTACCATACCCTCCATCATTTCCCCAATGAGACATCTTAAAGAAAAGTGGAACATTCTGGGATCAAATATCAGAAACTAGGATGGCTTCTGTAAATTTGGGACTGTCCCTGGAAAATAGGACACGTGGAGGGTCTGCTATTGTTGTGGTTTTCCAAAAAGCTTATGGAGAAATCTAATGGTCTTGACTTTCCCATTTACGGTAGCTTCCTTTTCCGCTAAACCCCTCATTTTTGTCTAGCCAAATGTGACTGTTATACTTCCTTGGCAATTGTCCCCTTATGTATGCATTGAGTTGAACAACACGTGCATCTAACACCAGGTCCTCAGCACCGCTTATGGTCCAAAATTGCCTCCCCTCTGGTTGGATCCTAGGGCAGAGTCATTTAGGGTAGAAATTTTACTTCTGTACATGCCTGGAACACACATCTTCCCAGTCTCATTCCCTCCCAACATTTCTCCCACGAAAATAGGGATGTCCTATTCGATGATGATGATGGGCAGGCTGGGTCAATCTCTTATATACCTTGAGTCCGTACTCTGAATAGTGACACCAGGGACCCAGAAGGTGCAGGGCTTGTCAGTCCAGCCCTGCACAGTCTCATCAGGGCTGACCTTAAGGCAATTGGAGCAATTTGGGGGCCCCTGCACCAGGGCAATCTAGATGAATTTTATTTATAGTTGTAAGATTTTGCAGACTTTGGCTGTGAACTGGAGCCCAACCAAAAAATAATTCAAGTAGCGCCCCACTGCTTCAAATTGGGCCCCACTGGCTAGCCCTGAGTCTAATACAGTGGTACCTCGGATTAAGTACTTAATTCGTTGCGGAGGTCTGTTCTTAACCTGAAACTGTTCTTAACCTGAAGCACCACTTTAGCTAATGGGGCTTCCTGCTGCCGCCGTGCCACCGGAGCACGATTTCTGTTCTCGTCCTGCAGCAAAGTTCTTAACCTGAAACTATTTCTGGGTTAGCGGAGTCTGTAACCTGAAGCGTATGTAACCTGAAGCGTATGTAACCTGAGGTACCACCGTAGTTGCTGGGCCTGAGTTGCCCTGCCCTTGCATGAAGTCTTGGTTTTACAATTTTGGGAGAGGGGAGACTGCAGCACTGGGGAGAGGGCAGGCTGGTGAGGCCCCCTAGACTTAGAGGCCCAAGTTCCCCTGCCCTCGCATGAAGTCTTGGGTTTGCAGTTTTGGGAGAGGGTGGTGACTGCCCGTTGGAGAGCGGGAGGGCTGGCGAGGCCCCCTAGATTTAGAGGCCCTAGGCTTTAGAGATGGTTGGATAGTGTTCTCGAAGCTACCAGCATGAGTTTGACCAAACTGCGGGAGGCAGTGGAAGACAGAAGTGCCTGGTGTGCTCTGGTCCATGGGGTCATGAAGAGTCGGACACGACTGAACGACTAAACAACAACAACAACAAGGCTTTAGCCTACTTAGCTATACATAAATCTGGCACTGGTCGTGGGGGCACTATGGAGAGTCCCTTGCCTGGAGCCAACACCGTGCTGTATAAATTGTGGGATGTAACATAAGCAGTCAAGTACAACACTTCCTGTTTGCCCTGTTAATGGAGAAATCTGAGGGCTCCCTTGGACAAAAAAAAAACCAAGGACACCAGCCAGGAATACCAGAACAAAACAGCAGCCAGTAGGCTTGGTCCTTTATTGAAGACTGTTGTGACAGGACTCCCACCTGCCACCAGGTGAAACAAAATGGTAGCCCAGAACAAAAGAAGACCCCAACTGTTATTAGTTACTAATCCCCCAAGCTACACCCCTAGAACTACATCACAACTACATCATGACTACATCATTGAGACATCACAAAAAGGAGGGGTTGAGGGAGGAGTTGTGGGGTAACCTGAGTATCTTAGCACCTGGCTGGTTCCTCCTTTCCCCCTCCCCATGAGTACATTCCAGGGACAAAGGGGAATTGGCAGTTTCCTGCCCCCCAGAGGGAAGATCTGATCATTGTCCTTTGTTCCAGTCCGTGTTGAATCCACTCCCATATGCAAGTCCTTTGTGACTTTGATGGTCTTCTGTCTGGGACCATCAAGGTTGTCATGCCAACTGGGTAGGGCTCCTGAGTACGTGTTGGTACGCTTAAGGGATTATGGCCATCCTGTATCAAACCATCCCCCTTTGATAGTCCTTCCTTCATGGAGCAAAATAAAAGTGGACCGGTGTAAATCCGATGTACGGTTGATTTACTATGAATTTAGAACAGAAAAGTCACATATGTCATGTGTGAGTGTGTGTGTCGTGATTGTACAAACTGAATGATTTGCAGGGGGGGGGGGTTTCCTGCAACAGCCCAGAGTGGACACGCGGGGGTGGGAGTGTTACTCTAGCCAGGATCTTCCTCCCCCTGCGTGTGACCAGGTAGGTGGGCGTGACACTGGGAGACCCCATAAGAGGGGCTGGTCATGCAGCAATCTCTCTCCTTTGACTCTTCTTTTCTTGAGGCCGTTCTCTCTTTATACTGATGTATAACGGGTGGGGGGTTAAAAAAATGAGTTGTTTCCTTTTCCCCACCCCCATGTTATTTCTTTAGCAATTAAAGGGGGGGAAATCTATTTTTTTTTAATTCTGAAAGTGCGGCGCACGGGGGGGGGGAGTTTGCGAAGCGCTGCTTTGATGCGTCATGAGCCTCTTCCCACCCATCTTTGTGTGTGTGGCTTTCGCTTCTATCGCACCAGCAGGGTTTTCCCTCTGGAATGTGCAGCGCCGGCATTTCCGAAGCAGGAATCGCGGAAAACTGTCGCTCGCCAGCTGTTCCCAACCTGGCTGATTCCTCCTTCGTTGTTCTTCTTGGGCTCCTCCCTCCATTACCTCATTCATCACCCCTTCCGGATCTCCATCCCCCCGTAGCTGCCCTATGGGCGTAGCCAGTATTTTTGTTGGGGGGGGAGGACAGGTCCTTTGTTGGGGGGGAGCCTTTTGCTAGGAGAAGGCAGAACCTCAGCTGGGTGGTTTTACTGATTTTTATTATGGGGGGGGCAGATGCACCTCCCGACCCCCCCTTGGCTACGCCCATGCGCTGCCCCCCACCCCACTTCCCGCAGCGCATCACCACCAATGGGGAGCAGCAGGAAATAGATACCGGCGGGAAGAGCAAGGGCGCTAAGCGGATTTTGCGCAAGGGCGGGTCGCTTTTTGTCCAACATATTTAATTGCCTGCCGGAAGAATAACGGTCTGTTAAGCCCCACGGATATCTCTCTGGTTAGGTCGGAACTGAGTTTCCAAATAAACAGGCTTCCACTCTTTGAACAGCTATATGGGGGGGGGGCTACTTAAAGTAGGGCTGTCACACGTCCGGATCGCCCCGGACATTACGGAGGGGGGTAATTGACCGGGGGGTGGGGATCTCTAAAAAGCGGCTCTTTGTCCTGGATCTTCGGCAAATCGCGGGGTTTTTTAGTGCTTTGGTAAGAAAAAGTTCGACGATCTTTGGGGGGGGGGGCGTCCTGGTTTTTACTTTTTTGAAATATTGCAAATCCACTTCAATGAAACATTTGGAGGTGGGGGGACCGGGTAAACCCCGCCCCCATCATCGATCACGTGGCACGGTGCACGCACACCATTTGAATGGCAATGTCCATCAACCATAGGAGCCAACTCCTAGGGGTCTTCGGACCCCCTTCCATAAAATATTTAAGGGTTTAAGCCCCCCACCCCAATTTATATGGCCCCACCCCAGTTTACAGACATTGCCATTCAAATAGTGTGCGTGCACCGTGCCACGTGATCGATGATGCGGGGTGGGACTTGTCGTCCCCCCAGTATTTTATTCAAGTTGGCACCCCTGCCATCAGTTTTGGGGGGGGGGCTCAGATATTTTGTTGGAGGGCCAATTTTTTGGGGGGGGCACAGAACCTTAGTTAAGTATTTTTATTGATCTGTGGGGGCAGCTGCTCTCCCCTTGGCTACGCCCTTGGCTCCTATGAATTCCTCTGTGAAAAACGGGGTCCTTGTCCCCCCCCCCTCCATTCATGGCGGTAGCCGCTTCTCCCCTCCTCATTCGCTGGCCCGCCCGCCTTCCCCTTTCGGGAAATTCGAACCCGCCAATCAGGGGCCGGTGAAGGGCGCCTCCTTCTCCCTCCGCCAAGCCCCGCCCCTGCTGCCGACGACACGCTCCCAGCCCTATAAAAGGCCCCGCCCCAACCCGTCCCGCAGTTCGGACGAAGTTTTGGCTCACCGGCGGCTCCCTCAACGGGTCGACTAGTGAGGAAGACTCGGTTCCTCCTTCTCCCGCTTCGTTGTTGTTTTTTTTGCTTCCTTGCCGTCGAGGAAACATGGTAAGTAGCGAAGAGAAGGAGGAGGAGGCTTGGAGACAAAGGCTTCGCGGGGGTTCGTGCCTGGGGACCAGGAAAGCGAGGCTGGGTGGGGTGCAGCGGTGCCAACTTGGCCCCACAAGCGTGGGTGCCCATGCGACGTGCATGGCCCTGGCACCCGGGTTAGTGGGTGCTCTCCACGGGGAATTTTGTGGGTGCTCGGGCATCCAGGGCCATGGGGTGTGAGGCGAGGGGTCGTGCGATGGAGCTGCGCCCTGTGGGTGTCGGTAGCCAGCTCGGGGCTCCCGGGACGCGGGTGTCGAGGAGCGGATGGGGGCCAAAAGGCGCTGGCTGCCTTCTCCTCCCTCGTTGTCCCAGGAGGAGCTCCATCCCGGGGTGGGGCGCCACCCCCCGGCTCCCGGGAAGAGCGTTTCTGCGTGTAGGAAATCGCGCCGCGCAGACACGTGTCCGCCTGTGCGCACATCCGGAGGAGCGTTGCCCGAGTCGTTTCCGCGCAATGGGTTGGGGGAGCGAGTGGCCTGAAACTTGCGCGCACGCGGTGGGACGCCCAGCTTCCTTGGTGTAGGAAAAGCCCCTAAAGGGCCTTACTCGTCTCTTTAACCTTTAACGTGCCATTTAGAAGCATAAACGCGCCATTTAGAAGCATGTGCCTCATTTGCCCGGGTTCTGATATTTTTTTGGGGGGGTGCGCTTGGGATTCAATTGCGTCTCTACGGGGCTTGTTAGGATCAGTGCCGGAAGCGGGTTCTGGGGTGCGTTGCTTAGTCCAGTCAGTACCAAACGAGACCATGAGAATATCTGAATAGTCTCTGTGCGCCTCGATTTATCCTTTCTGGGAAATGGGCCTATGGAACACAAGGTCATTTGCCAAAAATCCTCCGGAAGCGTGCTTCCGGAACCTTAAGCAGCAGGATGTGGCCGCTTAAGCCCGGCATGGCAGCCTCTTCCACACCCATGTGCGTAGCCAAGGGGGGTGGGGTAGGTGAGGTCAACTGCCCGCCCCCCAGATCAAGTAAAACAATAGAAATACTTAAGTGGCGAATCACGTAGGTTTTGGCCCCCTGACAAAAGGCCTGCCTCTCCCGCCCCACAAAATTCCTGGTTACTCCTATGTCCAGAACTTTTTTTCTTGCTTCCGTAACTACGTGTTGAGTCACTTCTTCCAAGCAGAGTTGGAAAGCGAGAGGCCAAGGCGAGCGGCCCACCAGAGAGAACGCGCGGGAAGAGCCTTGTTGAATAACCAGCTTGTTGCGTCATTTCCCCGGGCGGTTGAATGCAGAACCTTGTGCGCTTCATTTGCCTGTTGGCAAAAGAAGGAAACACTGCAAACCAATCCTGCCCCCCCCCCATGCAAGAAGAAATAAACACACACTCTTGTCCCCAAATGCCCATTGCAAATCGGCCAAGCTAAGCGGCTTAGGTTGCGCTTAAGAGGCATCCTTAGGCAAGGTATAATCCTTTTTGGGGTTGGGTCGTATCTTGAAAGCAAAAGTGGCCAAGTTTGAACTTGCCAGCTGCGAAGCTTGGCTCTGGCAAATAGATACTGCATAGAAGGGGCATTATGTGGCATTGCATAATGTCCAGCTACCAGCAGGTAGGGCAAAATGGCTTAAAAGTTGCTGGAAAGCAAGGCGTGTTCAGCCAAAGTGAGTTAGGAGGGACAGATCTTCAAAGGGCATAACAGCTCCATTTTGTGGCTCGGTTGAAATACAAAAGATGCAGTTCCAGCATCAGTTGTTTTTTAAATTAAGAGCTTACTCAAAACCGAGCTGTTGAGTAGACTTTTAATTTTATCTTTCAAATCTGAGTAACTGGAGCATGGAAACAAAACTGGATTTGTTTCAAATCTGAATTAACTGGAGGAAATTAAGGGTGTATCCTTGCAATATAACTGGATTTGTTTCAAATCTGAATAACTGGAGGAAATTAAGGGTGTATCCTTGCACCAGATATCATGAAAAGGATACCTCCACCTGTTGGCAGTGGAGTCTGATCCCCAGGGCAAATGGGGCATTGCCCCCCCAGCCCCAAGTCTCCCACCTTGCAGTTGATCCAAGGAGTGGCGCTGCCTCTCACCTGCCTAGTATCCCTGTTGCCTTTGTAGAACACTTATGGGGAACAGTATGAGAAACAAAGCTAGAATCATCTTGCTCTGGTTTGCTTTTGTTTGCCTGTTGGTAAACCTGGAGCCCTGTGCAAAATGCTTCTCTGTGCCCCCACAACTTGTCGGAGAGACACATTAACTCCCTTTGGAACCCTGATCCTAGTGTTCTGGGTTCCAGAAACTGAGGCTACCTAATAATGCGCAGGGCTTGGCTAGCTCTATGAAACCAAATCTGCTCCTTTCTCTCCTCCCCCTTGTTTGCGCTGTGGGAAGGATAATGGGGCTCAGTTGCCTAGCACTCAATTGCCTGCTTTGGTGGGGTGAGGCCTTGGGCCTCTTCTGCTTAGCTCTTGCTGTGTTTTCACTTCGCTGGCAGCAACTAGCTAAAACAAGCCAAATCCTGTTGGGAGTTCAAAAGAGCTGGCTCTGAAACATCGACTCATTAGCATCTGGATGAGCTATCCGAAGAAGCAAGCATGAGCAGGCTAGGAACCCTGTCTCGCTTGAACTCCAGCACTCCTATAATCTCCAGGCCTTAGTCCTTTTGACCAATGGAACAACTTTGAGCACAGTGCCTGTAGTCATGGGTGTTCGCCGGGGGGGGGTGTGCTCCCCCCCCATTAAGACCCATAATCCCCTGATTCTCCTATCAAAAAGAAAATTATATTTGTCCTGGATAGTTCAAAAATTTTAGTGGTTTCAAAAAAAACACCACCACTCAAAAACTTTCAGGGTGTCCTGGTTTTTACGCTTCAAATATGGCAACTCTGTATTTGCTGCATTTGTGTAACCTAAAGCATGAGGCAAAATGTGATACTATACAGATTTTATAGTCCTGAGGGATACATTGTGCTGCTGCAACAGACACAATGACTCAACAGGCGCCGGGTTATTTGAGTCACACCCAAAGCCTGCAGTGCCGATTAGGAATGAGTAACAGTGTCTTGCATACAATTGGTGCTTCAGGGTTGAGTTACAGTGTTGTCGTGTAGGGAATCTGTTGGTCTATTGCACACCCTTGGCCAAGCTCATCTGGCTAGTCTGAGGTAGGACCTCTTTCCTACCCAGGGGACAAAGACTTCAGTGTAATCTTTGACCAGGACAGATCTATCTCTCTTGCTCATTTATCTCACTGACTGCATTTTCAGGTAGGTTTATGAACGTTAAGAAGGGACAAGATTGTTGCAGTTCTATATGGCACTTCAGGCTTGTGGAAAATACAAATAAACTGCAATGACTACTGTCCCTATTATTATTATTATTATTATTATTATTATTATTCCCCACCCTTCTGGCTAGGTTTTCCCAGCCACTGTGGTCCGCTTCCAGCATACAGTCATACCTCTGGTTGAATACGCTTCGAGTTGAACGCGTTTGAGTTGCGCTCCACGGCAACCTGGAAGTAACAGAGTGCGTTACTTCCGGGTTTTGCCACTTGTGCATGTGTAGACGCTCAAAATGACATCACACGCATGCGCAGAAGCGACAAAAAGCCACGCGTGCGTGCGCAGATGTGCTGTCGCTAGTTACGTTTACCTCTAGATGCAAACAGGGCTCCGGAACGGATCCCGTTCGTATCTAGAGGTACCACTGTATAGGAAAACATAATGAAATGTCAAACATTAAAAGCTTCCCTAAACAGGGCTGCCTTCAGATGTCTTCTAAAAGTCAGAAAGTTGTTTCCTTGGCATTTGATGGGAGGGCGTTCCACAGGGTGGGCACCACCACCAAGAAGGCCCTCTGCCTGGTTCCCTGTAACCTCACTTCTCGCAGTAAGGGAACCGCCAGAAGGCCTTCCGTGCTGGACCTCGGTGTCCGGGCTGAACAATGGGGGTGGAGACGCTCCTTCAGGTATACTGGGCCGAGGCCATTTAGGGCTTTAAAGGTCAGCACCAACACTTTGAAATGGGAGCCAGTGAAGATCCTTCAGGGCCAAAGTTTTTAGGGGTGAGAGACTCAGGGCCCCCAAAAAGCTCAACAACTGTGGGCAATGACAATGGCAATCGCAATCTCTAGAGAGTTGGATATGCCTGTACTAGGTGCCATCTATATAACATTTTCATAGAATTTTCTCTTAATCCATAATATACTGTAAATTGTATATCCGTATTCCATAAGAGTTCCCTTCTCTTCAGATAGAATGATGAAGGAGAATTAGTTTTTGCCAACAGTTTCTGGGTAAAAGCTGTTGGCTTCCAAGGCTGTCACAAGCCACTTTCTCCTTATCAATCATCAAAAAATGGATTAAAGTCACAACAGACTGGCATGTGGACAACTTTAAATGACTCCCCAGTATTATCAGCTTAGCTTTAAGAAAGTGAGTGAATTTTCCACATGTCTTATTTCTTAGGCAATGGATTTTGTTTGCATTCTGGTTTCTGGGTCTTTGGCATACAGTGTTCTAAAAATCCGTGGTTAAAGCACAATTTCTATAAACACACTTTGAATTCTGCAAGTTTGAGGCCACAGAAAAGGGGCAGGATGTGGGACTGCTTATTCCGAGCTGTTCCATGGCAGCTCTGTCTTGGGGATGATGACATTGCATTGTGGGCAATTCATTAGCTGCTTACTTCCTAGTAAAGTTGGAATCCCTGGACGGTTAAATCCAGTCAAAACTGACTATAGGGTTGCGGAGCTCATCTCGCTTTAATGCCGAGGGAGCCGGCTTTTGTCCACAGACAGCTTTCTGGGTCCTGTGGCAGCATGACCAAACCACTTCTGGAGCAACAGGACACCAGAGCGCATGGAAATGCTGTTTACCTTCCCACTGCAGTGGTGCCTATTTATCTACTTGCACTGGTGTGTTTTCGAACTGCTAGGTTGGCAGGAGCTGGGACTGAGCAACGGGAGATCACCCCATCACCAGTATTCGAACCCCTTGACCTTCTGATCAGCAAGCCCAAGAAGCTCAGTGGTTTAGACCGCAGCGCGACCGCTGACTAGCACGGCTTTGCTCAGTCAGAGTGTGAATGCACAAACTGCTCTAGATATATCACTTTATTTCTTTCTGTGCAATTGTGGAGGCAGGCCCTAAACTCACACTTAAGACGCAGGGGTAAGAATGGGGGATTTAAAATAACATAGAATTGGTTGGACAGGCGAGTTCCAGGTCTGTGGGGTGTGTGTGTGCATTGAGGAAGGATGTATGCATTCATTTTAACCGCTTCTCTTTGTAGCGTGAGTGCATCTCCATCCACGTTGGCCAAGCCGGAGTCCAGATTGGCAATGCATGCTGGGAGCTCTACTGTCTTGAGCACGGCATCCAGCCTGATGGGCAGATGCCCAGTGACAAGACCATTGGGGGAGGAGACGACTCCTTCAACACGTTCTTCAGTGAGACGGGAGCTGGCAAGCACGTGCCCAGGGCGGTCTTTGTGGACTTGGAGCCAACTGTGATTGGTGAGCAAACAAGGCACTTCTGATAGCTTTCTAGCTGTGTTTGGGTCTACAGGAGGGATGCCAGAGGTCTTGAATGCTTCCAATTGCTTCTCTCCGCAGATGAGGTGCGCACTGGCACCTACCGCCAGCTCTTCCACCCCGAGCAGCTCATCACTGGCAAGGAGGATGCTGCCAACAATTATGCCAGGGGCCACTACACCATTGGCAAGGAGATCATTGACCTGGTCCTCGACAGGATACGGAAACTGGTGAGTTGATGTCTGCAGCCTGCGAGACTGGGGGAAGGGGCTTCTAAACACAACGGGAAAGACGTTTCACAAAAGCACCCGTTATAAATGGAGAAAGGACATTTCTTTAATACGTTCCTCCTTGTTTCCTCTGTTCCGGCTGTGAGCATGGTTGTAGCAAGAAAAAGCACTGCCCCCATGTTAACAGGGAAAGGCCAGCTTTTCGGGAGCAGACAAAACCCTTTAAAAAAAGAACAAAGAGGGACCCTCCAAAATTGAGTGTGCTTGGAGTCCATAGAATTCTATGTGCTAGGAGGAGAAAATGTAAAAGCAGAGGGGAGAGGGGAATGGAATGGCAAAAGGGGGGGGGGATCCTGACACTCCTCCCACTGCAACATTTTGTTGCAGGTTTTGCTTTATGTCCAAGCTGTGTTAAACTTTTGAGCAGGTCCTCCCTGCCTGTACTATTCGTGCAAGTCTGCCTCTTTCCTTCACTTCCTTAAAGGCAAGAATAAATTGTATAGTCAGTTGTACACTGCTGCTAATTAATACTTCACATGCACTGTATCCTGCTTTTCCCCAAAGAGCTTAGGATAGCAGAGGTAGTGGTGTGATCAGGCAATAACTTGTGCAGTCATTTTGATCTGTCTTCCATAGCCAAATGCTGGGGCAGGAGTACCATAGGCATAAATTTAGCAGGACCAGTTGGTCTAAGAAGGGGCATTTAATGGTTGAGTTGTCCTCCATATAAGGTCTAGCCCTTGAATTAACAGGCCACAGTTGTCTGGAAGCTACAGGGACATAGTATTAAGCGAGGCTCAGTGTCTCTGTCCCCCTCTCCTTCATCCCATTCAGAAGTCTCTGCTGCGCTGCCTAGGAGCCTTCAGCAGAGACTTGCTTCTGTTGTGTGGTCTTCTGAAAAGCTGACTGGGGGAAGGAGGTCTTCACAGGATCTTCTAAAGACAAAGGAAAGGATGCTTGAGATAGACTTAAAAAACCCCAGCTCCAAATCTGAATGTGCAGTGGTTCTCCTCCCTTGCCTGCCCTCATACAGCCTCAGAAGGCAAATTCTTTGATCTTGGCAAGCAAGAGTGGAATGTCACTCTACAGCTGCCAAAATTGGGCTTGCAGGAAAAACCTGGAGTGGATTTTTGTGAGAGGAAGCCCGTGGTCTCTAGTCCTTGAATGCATTTGGGAATGCTTTTCCCCATCGCTACATGCACAATATTCCAAGCAAGGGTGTGCATCTTATTGGACTTAGGGGTGTGTGGCCGCGCAAATTGGAGTCTTTTCTTTTTTGTTGCCTAATCTCAAGTTTTTTGTTATTTTTGCCTGTATTGTGTTTTCTCTGCTTCTCCTGGGGCTTGGGGGCAGCTTTTCAATGAGCCTTTGTTCCGTTTCACTTGCAGGTGGGATCTCCCACACACCAACTCCATGAATAGCAAAGGAATAATATCCAAAGTAGTACTAAGTAACCCCCTAGCTCAAGCAGAACACTTTCACAATGAGACTTCCCTCCTCTTTTCACCCCAGAAACTGTTCCAGGGGTTCCTCAAGCCACCTGGATCATATTTTGGGGTGCACATGGGAGGGCGAGTTCCATTGCGCAAGCCAAAGTTTTTCCGCTCGCATAATTATTTATTTGGATGCCACCCAAAGAAACAATTGCTTGGTTAGAAAAGCAGAAATAGAGCTTTGTGTAAAGTGGAAGAGCTCTCTGTATAGCTCTAGTCATGGGAAAATAAAATTCCTAGGCTGTGAATGTGCTCACAGGAACCTTGTTATTTAAATTCTAATCTTTCAGCCTATGGAAATGAAACAAGCACAGAGAGTTGTGGGGGTGGGGAATTGTACAGTTTAAGGAAGCCAGGAGTGGCATTGTTGAGTTTCTGAAGATAAAAGCTCTTGGGCTTATCTGTATGGGAGACTGTTAGCTCTGCTCTTTATCTTTAGCAAGAGTTGAAGAGGTAGGATTGTACAGGCTGTAGTTTCTCATAAATATTTGGAGGGGAAACTGCTCTGCATATGCTGATAGGCGCCCTGCTGCTTTAAGGCTAAAGAACAGTAACTGAGTAAAAATGCATGCAGCCAAGCTGTTAATCTGCTTGTTGTATTGAGGTGATTTTAAAGGCAATCATAAGCATAGTTGCCTTTTCCCAGGAAGTTGGAGATTGCTGAGTCTGTGATCTCTAGCTCTAAAATGGGGCTTCGTGATTTAAGAAAGTTGGTGCCATTTGCTGCGTCTTATATAAACCACAGCTCGAAGAAGAATTATCGGACGCATGCTTCATGGCTTACCTTGTGGCTTCAGTGGTCTTCTGTAAAATGAGCATTGTTCAAAGGGAGACTTTGATTAATACCATTCCTTACTTAATGGGTGAGGAAGCTTTGGACTTCTGGAAATGGTTAAGCAAAAATGTCCCTGTCATCCCAGACCATGAGCTATTTTAATTTGAGTCCAGCAGTGTATGGAAGCCACGGGTTCCCATCCATGCCTTATGCAGATTGTCCCAGTGGTGTGCAAAAGGTCATTTGTTTCAGCCCCTGTGTCCCAATTTTGGATGTTGCTCAGGTAGGTAACTCCCAAGTTGTACAAGAGAGGAAGGAGATAGATCATCAGTCTGTCCTTGATGTGTGGACAATGGTACATTGCTCAGTCAACAACTCATGGGCAGTTATGTTGAAGGGGGTAAGTGCTGTGGGTGGGAAGGAGATAATCATGAAGAATAGTCTTCTTGTGTTGTGATCTTAAATTAGTGTTAGGATCAAAATTCTTAAATAAGCAAAGGCCCAGGGATTATCTTCTGCTACAACAGAGTTAGCTAGCATTGTGACCTCTGGACGTTGTTAGACTACAATCCCCATCATTGCTTACCACCTCATAAGATGGTGAGTGCCAAGACTGCTTGGGTTGATGGGAGATAGACCCCACAGCCTTTGGAGGACACTACGTTAGCTACTGGAGGGATATGCCAAAATTGGATTTTGCTCTATAAACCCCCAGTAGCAGAGGAGGCGGTGTGATCATGCAATGATTGGTGTGGTCAGATTGATCTGTCCTCCAAAACTAAGAGCTGGGGCAGGAGTAGCATAGGCATTAATTTACCAGGACCAGTTGGTCTAAGAAGGGGAGCTTAATGGTTGAGATGTTCTCAATATAAGCCCTTGAATTACAGTTCATAGTTGTCTGGAAGCTACAGGGACATAGTATTAAGTGAGGCTCAGTGTCTCTGTCCCCCTCTCCTTTATCCCATTCAGAAGTCTCTGCTGCACTGCCCAGAAGCCTTCTGCAGAGACTTGTCTTCTGCTGTATGATCTCATGAAAAGCTGACTCTTACTGTCTCCGAACCCCCAGTAGCCTCCATATTAAGTGACTAAGTAGGCTTTTCAGGAAGACCATGTCAGGACTTGTGAGAATCTTTTAAAACCTGTCTCTTTCCAACAGGCCGACCAATGCACAGGTCTCCAGGGCTTCCTGGTCTTCCACAGCTTTGGTGGGGGCACCGGCTCTGGGTTCACCTCCTTGCTGATGGAGCGCCTGTCCGTTGACTACGGCAAGAAGTCCAAGCTGGAGTTCTCCATCTACCCAGCTCCCCAAGTCTCCACAGCTGTCGTCGAGCCCTACAACTCCATCCTGACCACCCACACCACCCTGGAGCACTCCGACTGCGCCTTCATGGTAGACAACGAGGCCATCTATGACATTTGCCGCAGGAACCTGGACATTGAGCGCCCCACTTACACCAACCTCAACCGCCTTATCAGCCAGATTGTGTCCTCCATCACGGCCTCCCTGCGATTTGATGGTGCCCTGAATGTAGACCTCACAGAATTCCAGACCAATCTGGTGCCCTATCCCCGAATCCACTTCCCCCTGGCCACCTACGCCCCGGTCATTTCAGCTGAGAAAGCTTACCATGAACAGCTGACGGTAGCAGAGATCACCAACGCTTGCTTTGAGCCAGCCAACCAATTAGTGAAATGTGACCCTCGTCACGGTAAATACATGGCCTGCTGCCTGTTGTACCGTGGGGACGTTGTCCCCAAAGACGTCAACGCTGCTATTGCCACCATCAAGACCAAACGTAGCATCCAGTTTGTGGACTGGTGCCCCACCGGTTTCAAGGTTGGTATCAACTACCAGCCCCCCACGGTGGTCCCCGGGGGCGACCTGGCCAAAGTGCAGCGTGCCGTCTGCATGCTGAGCAACACCACAGCCATTGCTGAGGCCTGGGCTCGCCTGGACCACAAGTTTGACCTGATGTATGCCAAGCGTGCCTTTGTCCACTGGTACGTTGGGGAAGGGATGGAGGAAGGCGAGTTCTCGGAGGCCCGGGAGGACATGGCTGCCCTAGAGAAGGATTACGAGGAGGTTGGGGCAGACAGTGCCGATGGGGATGATGAGGGCGAAGAATACTGATTTCTGTTTGTATCCGTTTGTTTTCTACTTCTCGCTCCTGTCTCCTTCTGGGTGCCTTCTGCTGCCCATTGTGTTAGACTCATTAAACAAAATGTTTAGCTGAAAGCAGTCTTGTTCCTTTCTTTATAGAACAAACCGTGCCCTGTCCTTCTGGGTTGTAGGCCTGGGTCCAAGATTCAGCATTGGAAGCCATGTGTCTGCAACCCTGTTGCTGAGGAACACGAGCGAGAAAGGGCTATTATGCCCCTGTCCCTGTTTGTGGGCTTCCCATCAGTGTCTGGCTGGCTACAATGGGAACAGGCAGGCACATTTGGAACTCTATAAAGTCCCATGGGTGTCGGTCAACAACTGGGTGTGCTGGCGGTGGAGAGGGCATAACACAAGATGGCTGCCTTGGCAGTGTGGCTTGACAAAATAGCTGCCACATCTAAAAGAGCAGAAAACGGGGTGCATGCCTGCACCACTTTATATGCCTGTCACCCAGAGAACAAGGATGGCATCCTTTATCAGTCCCTGCTGGACGCCGTCCCGGAGACTAGTTACTTGCACTTCTCTTGTTATTTGTTGATTTTATATACCGCCCTATACCTGGAGGTCTCGGGGCAGTTCACATAAAAAGATCACAGTATATAAAATAAAAAAAGCAATAGCCCAGTAATAAAGGTAAAGGGACCCCTGACCGTTAGGTCCAGTTGTGGAAGACTGGGGTTGCAGCGCTCCTCTCGCTTTACTGTACAGCTTCTGGGTCATGTGGCCAGCATGACTAAGCCACTCCTGGCGAACCAGAGCAGCACACGGAAACGGCCTTTACCTTCCCGCCAGAGCGGTACCTATTTATCTACTTACACTTTGACGTGCTTTTGAACTGCTAGGTTGGCAGGAGCTGGGACCCGGCAATGGGCACTCACCCCGTCGTGGGGATTTGAACCACCAACCTTCTGATCGACAAGTGCTAGGCTCTGTGGTTTAACCCACAGCGCCAACCGCGTCCTTCAGCCCAATAATAACTGCCCCCCAAAGAGCCACATTTTAAAAGGGCATAGGATGTCACTAAGCTCAACCAAAGACTTGGTTAAAAATGAACGCTTTTGCCTAGCGCCTAAAAGTGTCTAATGAAGGTGCCAGGCGAACTTCCCTGGGGAGAGCATTCCAGACAGGGAGCCACTGCAGAGAAGGCCTGTTCTTGTGTTGCCCCCCTCTGGACCTCTTGCAGAGACAGCACAGAACAGGGATGTCCTATCTTCGGCATCCAATGAAATGTTGGCATGTAGAAGAGGCCAAGCCAGTTGAAGTAGGAAGAGCTGTCTCCTTGAACAGACTGGGTTTTTAGGTGATGTTTGCAGAGACTATTTGCATGTGTTAAAATACTGGTAGGCACATCTGCCCCCAAATATGCCACATTGGTGATCCCTAAAACATTACTGTTAGCTGTTAACGAAATAATCAACCCACCTTCTATTCCAGAGGAAGTTCTGGAAAAATCATCCTTCTGGGCAGTCAAGTGTTTTTTCCCCAAGCAGGTACAATTAAGAGTAAGAATAGTTTTATTATTTATAACCCGCCTATCTGGCTGGGTTTCCCCAGCCACTCGGGGCGGCTTACAGCATATATTTAAAATTGTAAATCATCAAACATTAAGAATTTCCTGATACATGGCTGCCTTCAGATATCTTCTAAGAGTTGTGCAGTTATATATTTCCTTGACATCTGGTGGAAGGGCGTTCCACGGCGTGCATCACTATCAAGAAGGCAGTCTTGCTTGTTCCCTGTAACCTCACTTCTCGCAGTGAGTGCCAGAAGGGCCTCAGAGCTGGACCTCTGTGTCCAAGCTGAACGATGGGGGTGGAGATGCTTCTTCAATAATGGGTGGTGAGCTATCATTTCTCTTTTGCTAATCTTGTTAAACTTGGGACATTGGGTTTCCTTCACCTCTTGTTCCTTTTGCCTCAGCCTCCTTTTCCCATCCTCTCAAATTCAACATCCCGTGCATCTGCCTGCCTTAAGTTATTCACCACCATATCCTTTCTTCCCTTGTTTTTCTCCTGCCCACTTCTAATATTAGCCTCAGACAAGCACACTTTGCTTTCTCTTCATAACCACCCCCCTTTCTGTTTCTACCTTCGATCTGCCCCTTCTCCCCCATTTCCAATTATTCATCACCTTCCAATTTTGCCACGGTTTCAGAAATACTCTGCAGGCTGCCCCACATTGCTTATTCCCCCAGCAGTTAAGTCTTCACATTCAATACAATTTCCATTAATTCCTTTGTTGTTGTTGTTTAGTCGTTTAGTCGTGTCCGACTCTTCGTGACCCCATGGACCAGAGCATGCCAGGCACCTCTGTCCTCCACTACCTCCCGCAGTTTGGTCAAACTCATGCTGGTAACCTCGAAAACACTATCCAACCATCTCGTCCTCTGTCGCCCCCTTCTCCTTGTGCCCTCCATCTTTCCCAGCATCAGTGTCTTCTCCAGGGAGTCTTCTCTTCTCATGAGGTGGCCAAAGTACTGGAGCCTCAGCTTCACGATCAGCCCAGTGAGCACTCAGGGCTGATTTCCTTAAGAATGGATGCGTTTGATCTTGCAGTCCATGGGACTCTCAAGAGTCTTCTCCAGCACCATAATTCAAAAGCATCAATTCTTCGGCGATCAGCCTTCTTTATGGTCCAGCTCTCACATCCATACATCACTACTGGGAAAACCATGGCTTTAACTATACGGACCTTTGTTGGCAAGGTGACGTCTCTACTTCTCAAGATGCTGTCTAGGCCTGTCATTGCCCTTCTCCCAAGAAGGAGGCGTCTTTTAATTTCATGGCTGCTGTCACCATCTGCAGTGATCATTCATTCCTTAGTGCCGTACAATTGCCTATCGATCAGATTCATTCTGTTTATGTTAGGTCACTTTATACCTAGCCCAGTCAATAAGCAAGTTGCATTTTATGCTAGCTACAGCTTCTAGGGTGCATTGCAGTAATCCAATCTAGAGGCTGCAATAGTCAACAGCCTATCTCAGTCCATGAATGGCTGTAGCTAGCTGTCTTGCCAGTCAGACCTGGGAAAACGACTTCCTCTTATATAAAGGTTTTATGAACCGTATTCTAAGGAGGAATTTGTATAGTGTTTGGGATAAATAGAAAAATCTGCTGGAAAGGAAAACACCTTTATGGCTATCTGCTATTAAGGCTATTACAATTAAGAGAGTTAATATGGATAGTGGGCAACTTACAGGGAATTGCTATACTTTACAGAGGGGGAACCTAAACTTGAAATCAATGGAAAGTGTAAGGAGCCATTTCACAGACTGGCTACAATATCATCAGTTACATGAAATGTTTAAAATAGACAGGAAAAATGTTTTTTTGGACCAAAGCTCACAATTTGAAAAAGAACTGCAAAAGAAAGAAACCTTTATCTAAAATTTACAATTGGGAAACAAACGACAAGCTTGTCAAAGCCTCTATGAAACATTGGGCAATAGATACAGGACATAATATAGATTTTAATCTCTGGGGAAAACTTTGGAAAAGCATTCTGAAGGTTACAGCATGTTATTCCTTGGAAGGAGAACTACATGAAAATGATATACAGGTGATATCTAACTCCCGAGTAGACTTGCTAAGATCTATATGACTGAATCTGATAAGTGCTGGAGATGCAATGAGATCAAGGGTACATTCTGTCATATGTGGTGGACCTGTAAAAGGGTAAAAGAGAACAGTGGTACCTCCGGTTGCAAACTTCATCCGTTCCGGAGGTCCGTTCGTAACTGGAAACCGCTCATATCATGAGGCGCGCTTTTCCTAATGGCACCTCCCGCTGCTGCTGCACTGCCAGAGCGCAATTTCTGCTCACATCCTGGGGCAAAGTTCGCAAGAAGGGGCATATACTTCCAGGTTAGTGGAGCACATAACCCAAAGAATTCGTAAGGGGGACAGTTCGCAACATGAGGTATCACTGTACAGTGGTGCCTCGCAAGACGAAATTAATCCGTTCCGCGAGTCTCTTCGTCTTGTGGTTTTTTCGTCTTGCGAAGCACGGCTATTAGCGGCTTAGTGGCTATTAACGGCTTAGCGGCTTAGCGGCTTAATTAATGGCTTAGCGGCTTTAAGAAAAAGGAAACAAACTCGCAAGAACTCGCAAGACGTTTCATCTTGCGAAGCAAGCCCATAGGGAAATTCGTCTTGCGGAACGACTCAAAAAACGGAAAACCCTTTCGTCTAGCGAGTTTTTCGTCTTGTGAGGCATTCATCTTGCGGGGCACCACTGTATTGGGAAATAATTCATAGTTAACTGAAAAAAATGTTTAAAAGTACCTTTCCAAAAAAAACCCAAACAACACCAGAGTGCTTTTTGTTGGGGATAATTCAGATGGAAATTCCCAGGTGTCAAAAAGGGTTATTTATGTATGCCACTACTGCGGCCCGTGTTTTGTTAGCCCAAAATGGAAAATGAGCAAAGTCCCAACTAAAGAAGAATGGAGACTTAAGCTGATAGGTCTGCAAGCTGCACATATTCCAACATATAGAATAAGAGAACCAGAAGAACATATGTTTAAAGAAAATTGGAAAATGTTTATCGAATATATGGGGGGAAATTGTGTACATATGCTGGCAGCAATAAGATAAATAAGATAAATACGCTGGCAGCAATAAGATAAATTCAACAGTGTAAATAAGTTTTGATGGATGCAGTAATGGAATACTGAATGGTTTAGTTTATATAAAATATGCAGGAATTTATGTTACGCAAAATGAACCACGGAAAGAGAAGAAGGGAGGTCACTGTTATTTTAAGGTTGTTTAAATGAATACAGTGGTACCTCTGGTTACGAACTTAATTCGTTCCGGAGGTCCGTTCTTAACCTGAAACTGTTCTTAACCTGAGGTACCACTTTAGCTAATGGGGCCTTCCACTGCCGCCGCAGCGCGATTTCTGTTCTCATCCTGAGGTAAAGTTCTTAACCCGAGGTACTACTTCTGGGTTAGCGGAGTTTGTAACCCGAAGTGTTTGTAACCTGAGGTGCCACTGTATTCTAAAATGTAAAACAGAAAATTTAATAACAATTATGGGGGTGGGGAAGGAAAAGGCCTTCCTCGCCACTGAGG